GGGGGGAGGAATGTGAGCTTCTAATAAAAAAGGCTCAATGAAACATTCTAATCTATAATCTATAAGGGAAACTATGCAAGATAAAAAGAATGCAACAAAAGCCAGTCACATGAGTGAGAAGAATTCTTTTACAGATAAAATGAGCTGAAAAAGCTGCTACTAACAATAGAAATGTAGTAAATGGAAACTCACTGGCCCAAAGGAAGTACAATCCATGTTGAGAGTGAGCTGCCGAAGCGGTTCCAATTGTAACAGCAAGAGCAACAACAAGGAGAAGGAGAGCGAAAATCAGGTAGGCAACCCATCGAGTGCGTGCATAGGCTTGACCAACAGATGTAATTTTGCGACACTGTGGACACCGGGCTGCGATCAAACCATTGACAGTTGGAGCTGAACCACCTGATAGCCAACTCACTACGCGATTGAGAAAAAGAGACTGAAAACGGGTAGGTGGATCATTCTGAGGTTGGGGAATTGAAAATGGACGATGGCAATTGCCACAAGTTACACGAATACCATTTCGCGAGGGAAATGTACCCGAACCCATTAAGCTTGATCTAGCCAATAGATCTCTTGAAGAGTCACCAGCATTATAACCGGAAGCATTTGTCTAAGTTATTTACATAACAAATAAACTGTTTCTTACATCAGTGAGATTTATAACTCTGCGGCAATTTTCTCTTGGACAACCAACACGAGTAACAGATGATTTGCAAATAAGTAGACAATTGCATTGACAACGAACGAACTGCTTTCCTGTAGGTGGACCTTTAATAGGCTAATGAAAACTGATTATAAACACCAAAACGTATTACTGTCGCTTCATTGCAATTAGGACATTTAACCACAAGCTGTTTATTAAGATCTCCAATGGGGATGATTGTATTGCAAATTTGACATTTCACTGTTGGTTGACAGTCATTTCCTCGAATCTCAGCCTGCTCGGCTGGAGGTCTACTATAACCGGCTATTTTAAAAATTAAAGTTAAATTCATAAGCAAACCGTTGGGTTCCTGCAGAAGAGAAGTACTCTCGTCCATTATTAAATGAAGCAATTGTCAGTAGAACCGCTAGTTGATCCAATGCATTTTAAGAAATATTGTCCATTCAATTTCACATCAGGAATGAATTTAATTTTGGAAATAAATGCGATTTTTGAGCCATAGTAAACTAAAATTCATTTAATTAATTTTTCTTTTTTTAATGGCAGTGAAGAAGTCGAACTTTTGTGTCAAAAAATTTAAATAAGAGTTTCTTAATTTCTGAATTTAAATCTTTTTTTTCATACAATTTTACTTAGTGATAGTTATTTTCTAATCTATCTAGGCACGCTATCTGCACACCAGTGATCACTTGTGTTAACTGTGGTCACAGGTTTTATTTTATATTTCCATACTCAAAAATGCTTACACGATTCTTGACTTATAAGAAGTATTGTTATACACTCGTTTCCTTATCCTCCTTTTCACTTGCTTCCATTGCCGTTGTTCGTCAAGAAAGTGCCTCCGAAGAATTTATTCGCAAGATATCCAATTCCTTTGTTCGTTTTGTAAGGTATTCTCTTCCTACGAAATCCTATATTGTTTAGATCATTTTATATAGGCATACGAATCTCCCTTATGTACAAATGGACAATGCTAAAATTTGATGAAGTAAGGCATTTCTAAATTATTTTTGTAAGTTTTGTTTATTAGAATTCTGAGAATTATTCTACAGTCATGAATAGATGTCACCAGGAAGCTGGTGATATGATTCTTGCTGGTTGTCTCTTAAATGGTGGCTTGTTCATCAAAATGGGACAAGGCTTGACCACAATGAGTCACCTTATTCCAACCCAAATAACGTCTACTCTTGAGGCTCTTCATGACAAAGCAATCGCTCGATCTCCAAATGAAGTCAAACGCATTTTTATGAAAGATTTCGGTTCTTCTCCCGAGGAACTCTTCGAAGTGTTTGAAGAAAAACCTTTCGCTGCAGCCAGCTTAGCTCAAGTTCACCGTGCTGTGACTAAAGATGGGAAAGAGGTCGCTGTTAAAGTTCAGTATGAAGATCTGAGAGATCGTTTCCATAGTGATATAGGCACCCTTGAATTCCTCTGCCGCTTTGTTAACTTCATTCATCCCAAGTTTAAAATGGCTTGGATTTTGCATGATCTCAAAGAGACCCTTGCTCAAGAGCTGGATTTTGAGCAGGAAGCGGCAAATAGCGAACGCTGTCGAGATGATCTTATTAGTATGGGAACTTTAAAGCCGGATGGGGATGTTCATGTACCTGCGATTGAACATAAACTCTCTTCAAAACGTGTTCTCACCATGGAATTTATCCATGGCATTAAAATCAATGATGTAAGTTCCTTCTCTTTGATCACGCTTATTCGAGAACTGCAGGTGGCAATATTCATGTGGCGAGAGTTAGTACTAATTTTATAGTTCATCAAGCAAATTTAAAATAAATTTTGTACAAGAGATGTGCAAGTTGTGAAATAGGCGAGTGCGTGATTTTTTCTCAGATGTGATAAAGTGGGTGATATTGGTTGACTTAATTGTCAAATATGTTTCTTACTTGAGTTCATTGATTTTACCTTACTTTTCCCACCTCATTTCATTATTAAAATCCTTCTATGCTCCATTCATTCCATAAGCTAATATTTCGATTCGTCAATTTTATTGGTACGTACAGAATGCCACTATCAAATTTACTTAAGTTTGATTTTTCTGAAGTCCCTCAGAGCATTTATATATCCCTACTTTCGTAGAAGAGATCTATTAGTTGCTTTCAGGCGTAATACCGACTAATGTGCCCCAAGTATTTTGGCTTTTAATCATCTATAAATGATCTATACATACCGATTAATGCAAACTAGATCCTTTCTTTCTGAAAGTAGGGCTAATGTTAAATATCGCAAAGCCGGCCATTTGAAATAATAATTCTTTCTGAAAGTAAGCTACTCCAAATTTGGATTTTGGATATTAACATCACTTTATATATGTCAAAGTGTAAATAAATAACTAGTTTTGGCTATTTCCTCTTAATAGTTGAACTGTTTTTTTTCAGAAGGAAAGTCTTCGAAATGCCGGCTTTTCTCTGGCTTCAATCGATAAAATCATGGTGACCGCTTTCGGGCGTCAAATCTTTTGCAGTGGGTTTGTTCACGCTGATCCTCACCCTGGCAACCTGTTTGTAAGGCGTCGACCTTCTCCAACTTCTCAATCCTGGCTGCAGCGGATTTATCGATTTTTTGTTGAGTACTTCCTTGAAACACCCGCCCAGCTAGTAATTATTGATCATGGCTTGTATCAGAATATCTCTAATGAAGAAAGGCTTGCCTTGTGTGATATGTACAGAGCGATTTTAGACAATGATGAGAAAAGTATGCAGATAAATGCCCAACGGCTTCATGTCTCTGGTTAGTCTCTTTATTTCAACTCACGGTTTTCTATTAATAATCGTTAGTTTATTACTTGAAAGTCCTTTATTATTAGAGCCAACCAAGCAAATGCCTTTACTTCCCCTTTCTTTAGTAGTTATGCGCTTGTCTAAATTGTCTTTCCCGCTCCACAATCATGCTGTTTATTTCCCTGACCTGTTTATCGAAAATATTTATTAACTAATCTTTTGACTTCGCCTATTTTGCTTTTCTGCTCTTTAAAGTTTCATATTGTTAGAAAAGTGCATGGTGTAATATAATGCGACTCAACGTTTTTCCCTCTCAGGTCTCTTGAGAAATTGGTTATATCGATTTTAGCCAAGTCTTTGTTGAAATATTGTTTGAAGATTTAAATGGTTTTCAAAGGTTTATTCTCTAATTTGTACGCAGAAGGTTTTTATATTTTCACTATAATTCAACCTAAATTTTAACACCACATTTCGACGTAAGTTTTTTGTACTAGCACCGACTTGAATTTCAAAATCTATACCAGTCTTGGAATTCTATAAAAGGGCGAATAGAAAGAGAACTCCCATGAGGTAGGACAAGGAAGAAGTTTGAGTCGATGACTCTTAATTTAATCGATCAGCTAATATTCAGGGTATTCAGTTATCTGGTGTGCTTTGTTTTTCAACAAAACTCGAAATACGATTTCGTTTTTTTAATCAGAAAATATCATAAAGTAGAATAAAGACCTTGAGATCAATTGAAAGTTGTATTTTTGGAGAGAAAATCATGCTTTTACATCCATTTTTTCTTAAAGCAATTCGCACTGCAAAATCTGTGGAAGTGGTCTCCACAAAAATATCAATTGGGGTCAGTTATGGAGCTTTTTTCCCATCCAAACTAACTTTGAAATTCGCTGCTGAAGCCCTATTTTTTTCTGCACCTTGTGTCTGCTTTTACTTAATACTACCTCCATGAGAAATTGATTCTGCTAATTATAGATTATGCAACATTTGGCGAGATTATAATCCAACGACCTTGGCGACGAATTGGACGCACTCTGCATAGTAAACTGACAGAGGACGACAAAGCCTACATTCGAATGCAAGCTGAGATGTACTTCGATCGTATTCTTGACGTTCTGTATGAAATGCCCAGATCACTGCTTCTTACTGTTAGGTTTGTAAATTTTACGTTTTTTTTTCTACTTACCAGATTTAAGTAGACAATTTTTGACAATTTTCTTTTTCTCCAGGAATTTGAATATGATGCGCTCCATTTGTCGAAGTCACGATGATCAAATAAATCACCATGAATACCTCATCTACTGGGCTATTATTGGTGGTCAGATCGCGGATCAACGTGTTCCGTACTCTGGCAGTGTTACTAAAGCTTGGTTCAAATTGGAACACTATAGACTCATTTTAAGGTAAGTTAATTATTTTCTGATTTTCTTCTCTTTCTAGGTGGGAGGCACTGAAGAATTGGATTCAATTGCTGTCTGTTCATTGTCTTGCTTTGTGTGGATTGGCGTCAGATTTGAGGGAAATTGAATCAGTGGCAATTCAAAGTGCTAAGGAGAAACGAATGCAGCTGATGGGAGTTTCAAGTACCTAATGTCACCTCAGGGAATTGATTAGCTCACAATCTCTTTACCCTTTAACCACTTTGTAGAATATACCTTGTTCTTCTTTTTTCTTAATTATATGTGGTTTAATGGCAAGCTTTTGCTCTTTTTTTTATTCGGGGTTCTATATATTTAGATTTATGTGGATTATTCCTAGAATGCCAGGGTTTGAATTATTGTAAGCATTTGAAAAGATGAATCTGAGCGCTAGAAGATATGACCAATGACCAAAATGAAGTTAGCCTAATCATGCATTCATCGACTGTTGATTTTTCATGTCCCTTTCTCGGATTGAGGTCTCGTCACAGGGGCAATTAACAGCTAACTCGGTTGATGATACAAAGTAATATACAGGTTATTGGAATTTTCAGTTTCTGGTAATCTGTATACTCACCACTGGGTTGGAATAAATCTAGCTGTTGTAAACCCCAATAGACCCCTTACGGTATCATTTATTTATTTATTTCAAATGGCAGGCATTATGATAGTTGTCATTAACACTTTAGCTGACTTCGGGCTTCATAGAAGGGAGGAACATCAAGTGAAAAAAGTCGAGAGGGCGGACAGAAGAGTGATTTACAGATGTCAAAGGAACAGACAGACACGAAGGCAGGGAAAAGGTAAGATGAGAACTGTCGAAGTGGTGAAATTCGACATACAGTGGGGTCATGGTAGTTTGAAGTGAGAAGTCAACTGCCGATTAACAGACTTTGCCGTATGAGTATGTGTTGCCCTTGGTGCACCACGTGGAGGTAAGTCTATCGCACACCCCCCCCCCACCTAACAGTATCATTGTATCAGTCATTATAAAATTTTTTTACTAAATCACCTCATTAGCATTTCGAGACAAATAATTCTCGAGGTTTACTCGTTATATCAAATGATTTTTATCACACTGATAAAGTAATGGTATCTTAGCATGATAAGGCGAGTTTGTTATAATCCGTTTTATCTTAAAAGAATAAGTCACATTTTTACTAACATACCTATTTGCACTTAGGTCGTTGTAAGCCAACTATTTTTTAATTCCCTTCCAGAAGAAAACAAAATGAGGACAACTTTGAAAGATGAAAGGCTACTTTTTTCGGAATTCTGATAAGATGCCATCATTGATCAGACTAAATTAGTTCGGTCGGCCGGCCATTTAGGGATCGCCATCTTGGCAAGCGGGCACGTTGACCACTGCTCGTTTCCGACGCGTAAATAAGGACAATTTGAAGCCAGTTTCATTCCACGCTTTCCCATGGCTCTAGACGTATTGTTATTCATTGATTAAAGAATCAATTTTTATTTGCTTTATCCGCACGTTATTACTGGGCAACGTCGAGGTAACAAAGAATTTTCAATTGATTTATGAACTCCGGTTATAGGGTATCTTATATGTGCATAGTTCAAGTTCCAGAATTCAGGGGTGTACGATAGACTTACCTCCACGTGGTGCACCCTGGGCAACGTATACTCATACGGCAAAATAGTCTATTGACCGGCAGTTGACTTCTGACTTCTAACCACCAACACCCCGCTGCATGTCATATTCGGCTACTTCCACAGTACTCGCCTCACCTTTTTTCTACCTTTGTGTTTGTCTCTTTTACATCTTCGAAGCACTCTTCTGTTCCCCCCCCCATCCCCTCTTGACTTTTTTTTCACTTTAATGTTTCTTCCCCTCTGTTAAGCCTGAAGTCACCTAAAGGGCCAATGAAACTATCAAATTGCCTGTCATTTGATATAAAATAAATTCCAGAATTCAAATTTTACAATTCCCTCAAGGGAAATTTCAGTCTACAATGTCTAGTGCGAGTGCTATTCTTACCATAACTAGGACAAGAGTGTACAACAACGCTAAAGAGTGAGGATCAGTAAACTCTACACGTGACAGGCCAAGGTTTGAGTCATTATGACACAACGGTGAAGACTCCCTGTATTGTAATAGAGAATATGAATGAAAGTTAATTTTTNTACACGTTTCCCAGGGTGCACCGCGTGGAAGTAAGTCTA